CCAAAAAAAAAAAAAAAAAAAAAAAAAAAAAAAAAAATCCAGGAGACGACGCTAGCAGGCAGTGCGGAGCCCAGCACAGCCTATTCAAGTCTCCTCTTCACACATAAAAGGAGGGGGTTTTTTCACTTGAAAGAGAAACCACAACAAAGGCTGGGGTCCAGAGCCAGGTGGGTCTCTCAGCTCCAGCCCCTCCCTGCCTGGTCACCAACCCTCGTCCACGGCTGCCTCTGTGAAATCCAATTACTGGGCACATGGCAGCCTTGCCTTTGTAATCGGAGGTGGTGTGGGGGGAGCCAGGAGCCACCAGAGCACAGGAGGGGGTTCAAACGGCATCCTTCAACAGACTTCTGATGGAAGGGTATCATAATGCGTCACGAATCCAGGGGCCCTAAGTGTGTTTCTCCACACTCGCTGCTGTGTCCCTGGAGAGGGCCTACTTGCTTATCCCACAAGGCACTGCCATGTCAAGTCCTCTCCAGGTCCTTGAGCTCACACAGGTGGCCTGGAAAGGCAGCCCTGGCTGCAGGGTGGGTGACCTCGGTGTACGGCTCTGACAGCCCGGACGCGTGCCTTCTCACCCTGACCTTCCTTCTCCGCCCGTGAGGTGAGATGGCAGTGACAGCTCTAATATTTTATGGGAGATTCTCCCAACTGGTGGCCCACAGGCTAAGTCTAGCTTGCAAAATATGTACTATTGGCTTCCAGATTAAAATAAAAATTAAGTAAAAATGGATAAAATTCATATAAATATCCACCTTTCCAGCTTCAACTGAATAAAACTATCAGAACAATCCCGTGGCACATCTGACAGAAGCTGAGTAGGGCATGTACCAGGTGGCCACAGTCCCCACCACTCCCTCTTGTTCCATGCCCAATCTGAGTCACTCATTACCGACATGCTAGTCTCTTAAGCGTTGGTGTTTATAACCCCTGAACTATGGTCTCAATCTTGGCTGCTGGCACTTTAGAACGACTGATATTGATGTTAACAGATGCCTAGGCCCAGGCCCACACCCAGACATTCTGATTCAACTGGTCTTGGGGTAGAGCCAAGGCAATGATGTTTGTAGAAAAACTCCTCAGTTAATTCTAATTTCAGCCAGGCCGAGAGCTGCTGGTCCAAGGGCCCTGGCAGCTGGGAGGACCCGTCTCACCTGTGTAAAGAAGCAGCCACCAGAAAAAGAAGGACGGGAAAAGTGGGCCTGGTCAAAAGCACTCACAGGTGCCCCTGGGGAAACACGTGTTGCCCTGGGATCCCCTCCACCCTCAACATAAGCACTTTAGCTTTTTAGGCACAAACGCAATGAGCTTTGTGAGCTTCGGGCAGAAACGACAACACAGACCAATCCCTCCTGCTTGCCCTTGTGTTTGCGCCCAGTCTAGGTCCTGCCTGTAGCTCCCTCCTGAGCCACTGTCCAAGATGCTTCCTGTCCCTGCACTGGGTTTGCCAATTCACACCTCTCCCCTCCCCTCTTGACTCCGCCCAGGGCTCGCGCCTCCTGTAGGAAGCTGCATGAAATATCCTCCTCTCTTGGGCTTCCCTGGTGGCGCAGTGGTTGAGAGTCCGCCTGCCGATGCAGGGGACACGGGTTCGTGCCCCAGTCCGGGAAGATCCCACATGCCACGGAGCGGCTGGGCCCGTGAGCCATGGCCGCTGGGCCAGCGGGTCCGGAGCCTGTGCTCCGCAACGGGAGAGGCCACAGCAGTGAGAAGCCCGCGTACCGCAAAAAAAAAAAAAAAAAAAAAAAAAAATGCTCCTCTCAACTCCCTCAGGTACCATCAGCATTTTACATGTTGGTTTCTCTAAACAGGCTCTTAGAGTCCTTTCATGCCCTTATCAGATAGAGAATTCCTGAAGGCAGGAATCCCTTCTCCTGTGCCCCCTGTGCCCTCCCCAATTCTCCCACCCCACCATTTCATGAACACACACCAAGCGCCCAGGCTGCAACTCCATCCCACGGGTCACTGAGTGGCAGTGGACTCTTGCAGAAGGATGGAGGGGCTACCTGGAGAGTGGAGAGCGGACACTGCCGCCTGCTTGTCCACCTGGAGGAACCATCTCAGATGAATCTACAACGCCCACCTGCCAGCCTCCTGCCCACCTCCCTGCCGAGCACCCGTGTCTGCTTGCTGTACGTGTGCACAGCACAGAAAACAACAGCCCTGGCGTCTGTCACTCACTCCTGAACTGAGAAAGCAACATGGGAGAACAGTGCTAGATTGCAGGGGGTTGGGGCATGGCGGTCAGAAGGGGGCTCGTTCAAGTCCACCGAAAAATAACTACTCCTGAGCTGCAGGACCCCAAATACTCTACTGGTCTGTTCAAATCAAGAGAATCACTCCGGGACCCACACCCTTGACCATGAATCAATCTGATTCACAGCCAGCTAGAGGCAGGAGTGGCACTTAGAGATTTCCAGAGGACACAGGTCCACCCTTAGAGCCTCCCCTTGGGAATGATTTCCTGAGACTAGCTGACTGGGGACTAGCCCTGGTGACATTCCCTAGATAGGGTTGGAGCCTGAAGGATGAGGGTCAGCATGCCCTCCTGGCCTCAGCTGACCAGGGCCTACCTTGGAGCTGACAGAACGTGGTCATGAACTTGCTGGTGAGGGACTTGAGCTCGTTGTTGGCCAGCGTGATGAGGTGGATCTGGTCGGTGACATTTCGCAGGACCTTGTAGATGCCGATGGGGAAGGAAACCAGCTTGCACTCGGCCAGGTCTGCAGCCAAAGGACAAAGACCAGAGTTAGCAGCCACAGCTGCCCATGGACATCGACCCTGTATCTCCTCCCGGCCTCCTTTGTCTCCTACCTGGCTCCCCTGTGCCGGGCTCAAGACCCTGCCGTCCCTCCTCCAAGAGCCTTCATCACCATTCATCACACTTGTCCCAGTCTCACACACTGAACCTAACAGCTTATTCTAGCACCTTCTCTAACAGCACAGCCCGCTAGCTGGAATGCAGAAGACAGAGCTCTGATGACCAGCACTCACAGCCGTGTGCTTGAGGCCCTGAAGGATCCACAAGTCCCTCCAGGATCATCAGACTCAACGGCGAAGCCAGGGTCTTAAGAGTACTTTATAATAGTCTACTTCTTTGAAAACAGGCAATTCACACAGACTTTGTGTTATGACCTTCTTCCCCATCCTGTCACTCTGAAGACAGGTCTAAGAGGCAGCAGGGAAGCCTCTGTGAAGAACAGTCTGGCAGTTCCTCGAATGGTTAAACCTAGTTACTGTATGACCCAGCAATTCCACTCCTGGGTATATACCTGGGGAAAATGAAACCATGTGTCCACACAAAATAGTACACATGAATGTTCACAGCAGCATTATTCATAATAGCCAAAAAGTGGAAACAACCCATGTGTCCACACATAGACGAATGCGTAAGCAAAGTGTGTATATCCACAAAAAGGAATATTGCTTGGCAATAAAAAGAAATGTATCAATATATACTACAACATTGAAAACATTATGGTAAATGAAAGAAGCCAGTCACCAAGGACAATATATTGTATGAGGCCATTTATATGAAATGTCCAGGACAGGCAAATGTACAGAGACAGGAAGTAGATTAGTGGTTACCTAGGGCTGGGGGTATTCAGGGATGGCAACTAAGGGGTGAGGGGCTTCTTTGTTGGAGTAATGCAAATGTTCTAAAATTGGAGTTGGTAATAGTTGCACAGCTCTGTGAATATACTCAAACCACTGAACTGCACACCCTAAACTGTATGGTATGTGAATTATATCTCAATAAACCTGTTTCATATATATGGCAGCAGAGAGACACTGAAAGCATGGAGGCTCAGAAATTAGGCTGTCCAGCTCATCTAAGTCACTTAAGTTTCCTGAGCCTCAGTTTTCTCATCTGTAAAATGGGGGTATCATTGTCTACCTAGCAAGGCTGTCAGGAAAAGTAAATATAATAACAAGTACTCAATGTACTAACCAAGTGCCTGGCAGATAAGTAGTGGGAATGCTAAATACAAATGCTGTTTCCCTACTCACCTTCCACTTTGCTCTCCCCTTCCCACCTTACCCAAATCGTCTCCATGCTTCAAGGCCAGTTCCCATCCCACCTCTTCTGAAAGTCTTCCTGGATCACCCCCATTACTGGTGATTGCCCCCCCAACCCTGTTCAGGAGCACTCACCAACTCAGACAGCACTGCCCCATCTCTCAACAAACTCTTGTCTTTTCCCCAAAGAGGCCGGGCTTCCCCAGGCACCTCTAAGCCTTTGAAGATTGTTCCAATATTAATATATAAAATTCAATAATATTCCTATATGCCAGCAATAAAATACAGTTTTTAAAGATCTTATTCTGAACAGCAACAATAATGCAAAGTCTATAGAAATAATCAAAATTGAAGGCCTTCTCCCTTATCTGTCTCACAGAATTTCTACTCTGGCTCTAATACCAGCTCAAATGTCATCTCCTCCAGGAAGCCTTCCCTGACGGCCCTAAGCTCCAGCCTCTGAGTCTCATATGGTGTAAATGAGACCTCTTCATCCTGTATTGTATTAACCTCCTGTTGTGTCTGCTTTCCCACTGGACTGGGAAGGCCCCCAGAGCACAGCGTCAGCAGAGGTCCACCAGGCTTGGAGGGCAGGGCAGGGTTACTGGTGACCTCATTAAGCTGGTTTAAGGAAAGAAAGGGGACAGGTGGGGGTAAGGGCAAAAGTCCAAAAGACTGAGGAACCATAGGGGTAGGACATCCTGTTAAGAAGTGTCTTTAGGGAATTCCCTGTTGGCCCAATGGTTAAGACACCGAGCTTCCACTGCAGGGGTCCTGAGTTCGACCCCTGGTCGGGGAACTAAGATCCCACAAGCCATGTGGTGTGGCCAAGAAAAAAAAAAGAAAAGAAGTGTCTTTACTGTTTGCTCTGGTCCAGGGCTATGTTAGGTGACCCCAGCCCTGCGTACCAGTCCAATGTCAGGTACCTGCTCTTATATCAGCAAGCGGGGTTTACAGAAGACAGTGCAAGGTCCTGCCAGGAAGAACCAATGCCCAAAGGTCAAACTTTCAGTAAAAAGAGATCAAGGGCTGGAACTAGACCAGCTCTGTAGGCTCGAAGTTTGGGGCAAGCTGAGGATTCTTGTAAAAGCAAACACTTCCAAACCATGAGCCCCCTAGTGCTTGGTGCCAGAAGCACAAAGGTCTAGAAAGGAGTCTTGCGGTTGTGAATCACAACAGCCCCTTTGGCTAAAAGCAACAGATCTCAGACCTGCTAGGAACAACATCAAGGAAAATGTCAGAAGCTTTCCCTTTAAAACAAAGAGCAAAATAAGGATGCCTTCCATCATCGGTATCCCTGAACATGGTCTTAGAAGTTCTGGCCAAAGAAATAGAAAGCATAAACAATTAGAAACAGACAAAATGATTATTATGTACATGTGAGATGACTGCATAACCTCAACAAAGCAGGCATCTGACAAAGTACACAAATTAAGAAGATCTCAGCAAAGTGGCTAATTAAAAGTGCAAAATTCAATAATATTGAATTGCCTATATGCCAGCAATAAATATAGTTTTTAGGATCCTACTCCAAACAGCAATATAATATAAAATATAGAGATAATCATAATAGAAAATATATCTGACCAATATTAAGAAAAGTAGTTCTATTTTTAGTTTTTAAGGAACCTCCATACTGTTCTCCACAGTGGCTGTATCAATTTACATTCCCACCAACAGTGTAGGAAGGTCCCCTTTTCTCCATACCCTCTCCAGCAATTATTGTTTCTAGCTTTTTTGATAATGGCCATTCTGACCGGTGTGAGGTGATACCTCATTGTAGTTTTGATTTGCATTTCTCTAATAGGTAGTGAGGTGGATGGACCTACAGTCTGTCATACAGTGTAAGTCAGAAAGAGAAAAACAAATACCGTATGCTAACGCACATATATGGAATCTAAAAAAAAAAAAAAAAACCCCAAAGGGTACTGATGAACCTAGTTGCAGGGCAGGAATAAAGAGGTAGACATAGAGAATGGACTTGAGGACTTGGGGTGGGAGGGCGAAGCTGAGGCAAAGTGAGAGTAGCATCGATATATATACACTACCGAATGTAAAATAGTTGGCTGGTGGGAAGCAGCAGCATAGCACAGGGAGATCGGCTCGGTGCTTTGCAATGATCTAGAGGGGTGGGATAGGAAGGATGGGAGGGAGGCTCAAGAGGGAGGGGATATGGGGACATGTGTATGCATATGGCTGATTCACTTTGTTGTGCGACGAAAACTAACACGGTATCGTGAAGGAATTATACCCCATTAAAGATCTATTTTAAAAAAAGATTAAAAAAAAAGAAAAGTAGAAAGGTTCACAAAGATATTTTTACAAATGGGAGGACTTCCCTGGTGGTTCAGTGATTGAAACTCCGCCTGCCAATGCACGGGATATAGATTTGATCCCTGGTCTGGGAAGATCCCACATGCCGTGGAGCAACTAAGCCCGTGCGCCACAACTACTCAGCCTGCGCTCTAGAGCCTGCAAGCCACAACTACTGAGCCTGCACGCTGCGACTACTGAGCCCACATGCTGCAACTACTGAAGCCCACACACCTAGAGCCCATGCACTGCAACAAAGAGTAGCTCCCACTCACCACAACTAGAGAAAGCCTGCGCGCAGCAACGAAGACACAATGCAGCCAAAAAAATAAGTAAAAAATAAATAAATAAATAATAAATAAATAAATAAAAATGGGTTTGTACATGGAGATATATAGCATTCGTTGACAACAAGTTAAAATATTGAAATAACAGTGATTTTTTTAAAGAAGTTAATTTACAGATTGTTTAATGCAATTCCTACTTAAAGCCCAAAAAGTTTTTTTTTAAACTTGATGAAATGGCTTTAAATTTCAACTAGGGAATAAGCAAGCAAGACTCTCTAAAAGAGAAGGTGGAGTGATAACCAATTTTATAAGGCTGCAGTAATTAAAACAGAGGGTGATAGGAAAAATAGATCATAGAAAGAAAATACAGTAACTACATAGAAAGAAAATACAGATCCATAGTCCAGAAAATACAGACCATAAATAATATGTCATAGTTTAATAAACACTAAAATGGAGGCCTCACAAATAAATTAGGGAAGGGAAGGATTAATAACTGATGTCAGAATAACCAATTAACAATTTTGGGAAAATAAGAGAAAGAGACTCTCAGTTAACCTAAGAATCAAAAAAAAAACTCTAGATAAAATTACACTTTAAATATTTTTTGAAATCCAATCAAAAAATCAGAAGTAAACAGACTTACACAACCACTTAAGTGAGGAAGACTTTCTCAACTTAGGAGCCGTGAAGAATCACAAAGGAACAGATCAACAAACCTAACTATAAAAAAATATGAAACACCTAGATGCTTAGAAGAAAATAAGGCAAGCAACAGATTGTGAAAGAGGATCTATAAATAGGATACATAAGTTGTTATCTTGATTCTTTTAAATGCTCAATGTAACTCAATTTTAAAAAGGCCACCAGATGATAGATATTCACCAGAGAGAAAATATAATTAGTAAATAAATATACAGACACTGATATGTGTTGCCAAACTGCTTTCCAGGATATTTATACCAATTTACATATATTCTAGCCAACAAGTAAGAGGATCATTAAAAAAATCCTTGCTAATATGATCAGGGGAAATGGTATCCCTTGCTTTCATGAGACTGATTATCTTTTATGGTTAATTAACCATTTTTATTTCCCTGGTG